CTGTACGGTTGAGGATACATAACCAAAAGTGTTTGCAAGAGTTGACCACCACTCATAATTCCAGAAGGCTGATTTGGAGAGTTGTTTCATGATCAGACCATTGACCCTGGGCAAAACGTTCATCTAAGTGGGCACCCTTTCCAATGACAGAGGCATTGGTCATATGTAGTGCATTGTTATGTTGTCGGTGAATATTCTGACTGTACGGTTGAGGATACATAACCAAAAGTGTTTGCAAGAGTTGACCACCACTCATAATTCCAGAAGGCTGATTTGGAGAGTTGTTTCATGATCAGACCATTGACCCTGGGCAAAACGTTCATCTAAGTGGGCACCCTTTCCAATGACAGAGGCATTGGTCATGATCTGTACAGTTTGTGGTAGAAAGGGACCCCCTGCAAGAAGATTGTCTGGGTTGGTCCACCATTTGAGGGAGGCAACCACATTGAATGGGGGAGAGATGTGCTTGTGGATATGATGTTTGTAAGGAATGTATACTGATGTCCGCCAATGCTGAAGACAATGAAGGTGTAGGTAGTCGTGGTACACAACATAGGTTGTCACGGCCATATGACCATCAGTTGCAAACAGGTAAGTACCGGCACAGTCAGGTTCATGGAAACCACTGCAAACAGATCCTGTATCAATTGGAATCTTTGCATGGTTAAATAGGCATGGGTACTAATGGAGTCTAGCTGGGTGCCTCTAAAGTCCAGGGTCTGAGTCAGGTGAAATGTGAATTTTTGCTCATTGATGATGAGACCAAGCAATTTGAATAGATTTCTAGCTGTGCATATCATGCCGTGTGTTTCCATGCAAGATGAACCCTTTATGAAACAATTGTCAAGGTACAGGAAGATCATAATGCCGCGATGATGTGTATGTACCCCGACAACTGCCAGTGTCTTTGAAAACACTCTGAGGGCAGATGAGAGGCCAAAATGCAAAACGCGGAATTAGAAATGTTCTGATGCTATAGTGAAATGAAGAAATCACATGTGGGCCGGAGGGATGGTTACATGAAAGTAGGCGACAAAGTATACTTTGTCCAATGCTGGGTTTATAGATGCCAAGGTAACCATTTGGAACCACTGCTTGCTAAGTTTTTGTTGAGCTTGCAAAGAGTGAGGCTAGGTCTCCAGCCTCCTGTTCTTTTCTCCATGAGAAAATAATTGGAATAGAAGTTTGCCTCTGAACTGTCCTAGAATTCTCTTGACTGCTCCAGTGGTGAGGAGATGATGTACTTCCTGTCTTAGTAGCTCCTCATGAGAGGGGTCCCTGAAAAGGGGTGGGGAGGTTGGCTGAAGAGAGGTAAAGGGGATGTGTACCCGAATGTCACAATTTTGAGGACCCAACGGTCCATGTAGATGGCAGCACATCGGTGGTAAAACGGGTGCAAGCTGTGGTAAAAAATGGGAACGTTCATAGTACGGATGTGCACAAGAGAGGTGAGGTAGACCTTCGACCAATGTCTCAAATTTGCTGTTTGTTGACCTGTTGATTAGCGGAGTGGTTGTTTTGTGGTCACTTCCTCTGGGCTTGTGGTCTACAGCAAGACTGATCAAAACCTCTCTGCCGGTTTCATGTGTACAAGAAGTTGTGGTGCTGCTGGTAGGGCATATAGACTAGGGACTCCAGTGACTTGGAGCCAAGAAGCCTTCCACATGGCATAATATAGCCCTCCTGCACTATAGACTTTAAAATAGGTCTTTCATTGTCCTGAAGATGTTCCATGAGGCCCGTAAACTTGGAGTAATTATCAAAATCATGGTTAGTTAGAAGGGCTGAGTAGTTCACAATACAAAGGTGGAGAGTTGAGGAAGAATACATCTTCCTGTCAACCAAGTCCATGCGTTGACTCCCTTTATCTTGAGCCGCATTCTTGTATTGTGGTCGTTTTGACCTGTGATGTGCTGTGTCAGCTACAAAGGAATTTGGCTCAGGGTGTGAGAATAAAAAGTCCATGCCGTTGGCAGGAACAAAATATTTCTTATCATCCCGCTTGTTGGTAGGAGGGGTGGCCACTGCGATCTGTCACATTATCAGCTGCTTCCATGATCACCTTGTAGAAGCTGTAGAAACCATTTTTATATTTAGCTAAAAGCCATTTTGTATAACAGAAACCATTTTAGCTTTTTTTTTAAGCACGTAAACCAAAGTAAACTTTTGTTACCCCGTGAGAAAAGGCCTACAGGATGGGCTATAGGTATGTGTTAATTGGGCTGGTTGGGACAGGAGATGTACTCCCTCGCACCTGTCCGCCATCTTGTTGATAAGGCTTTGTTTTTCCAAATTTAATTAAGAATTTCTGTAATTGGATGCCCTAACGTCAGACTGTTTAGCTAAGGGTATAAAAATACTAGAATTAATTGTATTAGCAGCCTTACTGGGTCTAGCTCTGCTGTAACCACGTTTGGCTCATGCTGTGCTTTATTAATTAATAAAGCTGTTTGTTAGCTGCCTAAACACAAAGGAGCATGTTTTTGCTTCGACAACCTCATTGATAGGTAATGTGATCTTGGCACGGTGGGAAGGATGAAGATTTTTAAGGAAATGATGCTATTACTCCTGGTCCTCCATAAGTTGTACCTCCTGACTGGTAGCTACCCTCTTAACCAGTTCCAGGAACTGTTTCAAATCATCTATTGGTGAATCTCCTGGAATGACTCTCCTCTGGGCGTCATCAAAGGCGCTGTGATCCGATATCACTAGAGATCTAGGATCCCTGAATGAGCCTTGTGAGAAAAGAGGCAATGGAGAGAGCAGTCAGGCTGCAGTAATGCGAGATGATCTAGTCTGCGGCACTGGATTGTGAGGAGAAACATGTTGTTGCTGTCCCCTGGGATGTTGTGTAATGTTCCCCAAAGAATCCTCCATCAGCGCCGGTGCCAACTGGCTACTGCTAGAGAAAACTCCAATCTGAAGCACCAGGACAACCCGACCCATGGGGACATCACTTGAAGAATTCCGGGTTTGACCCAGTTGGGGGCATTCCATGCTAAAGTGGATAATTCCGTTTTTGAGCCCTGGACTAATTTGTCTAACTCCTTGGTGCTGGAAGCAAAATGTTCAGTTGGTTTTGAATTGGTAGAGCAGTAAGGTACTCTAGAGGTGCAATATCTTTTGTCTGCATGGAAGAATTCTAGAGAAATCACTCTAAAGGAGGTGACAGAGAATGGGACCTTCCTATTATTTTTCTTTTTAATCATCCCACTATGATTCTGCAGCAGAAACACAATTCTCAGTTAAGCAATGCACGATTTTGGCTGCGGGTGGAAAATAAAGTTAATGGGTATGTATACAACAGATGCTCTAGTGAATAACCCAGCTACTAGCCTTCCATGATCCAACATTAAGCGTCTTGGTGTCCAACGAATCAAATATTACCTGCCAGAAAAACAGAATTTGTCTCTTGGGACTGGTAGTCTAGGATACTGGTGAGAGCTGATGTAAGGTTGAAGTCATGATGTGTGACATCTTCTGCCAATGCTTCCTAGCAGAGGAGTATTTTGGAGGAAGGAATCTCCCAGTCTAGGACCAAAAGAGTCATATAGGCACGATAGCATTTTTAGAGGGGGGAATCATCTCAAGTCAACAGCACCTTTTCATAGGTCAAGCACCTAACTATTTGGGAGATCTTATGTTAAAGTTCCCTTAAAGATAATGGTACTTATCTACATGCTTAACATCAAGCACATGCTTAAGTGTTCTCTTAAATCAGAGAGTCTATGTCTACCCAGTAGCATTTTTGTGGAAGAGGAAATGCAAATGAAGCGCTCATTAACATTTCTCACACTCTCATTTGCATATTCTCTTCCTATCTGTTTTGCGGAAGAGGTTTTTGCAGAAACAAACGAAGTGTAGACGGGGCCATTTTGCATGAAAAAAAACATTTTGCGCAAGATCCTGTATACCTCCTTTTTTGAGGGATAAGGGATCTTGCGCAAAAGGGGGGTTTTGCGCAAAATGGCCTTGTCTACACTGCGTTTTTTCCCGCAAAAACCTCTTCTGCAAAACGGCTATGCAAATGAGAGTCTGAGAAATGCGAATGAGTGCTTGATTTGCATTTCCTCTTCTGCAAAAATACTACAGCGTAGACATAGCCTGAGGGGCAACCTGGGCTAGTGAGTGGGCCATGAGTGGCTCGCCTTCATTTTAGTGGGCTGCAAGATGGTCTCCCAGGATAGGGCAGTTTTGCTCCCTGCGTACCTAGAATTTGTGGAGTGAGCTGATCAAACCGTCGCAGCGCTTTGATTGGATGCAGAGGGAGCACACTGCTCCCAGTCAATGTTGTGTGCAATCAGCTTGCCCCTCGCTCCGTGTGGCCTTGCTTTAGATGAGTGCCACTTTAGTAATGCCGGTAGGAAAAAAAACCTATGTGGACAAAAACCAACAGAATCTGGCAACCCTGTGCATTGGCAACGGTAAACAAACAAGTCTTGTTTACCATTGCCCATAGAACACTGATGGGCTGCATGTGGCCCGCCGTCTGCAGGTTGCCCACTATTGTCTTAGAGATGGACTAAAGGAAGTGCCTACGTCTTTTCTAGAATTGGCGCTACAGGGTGTCAAGCTCCACTCCTGTTTGGCATGCAACACACAAGCCCTTGTTCAACTCTAGATTACACAGTAACTAAATGTAAGTTTTTCCGTTAATCTAAGGTTTAGAATTCAAGGTGACAAATCTGATTTAAGAGCTCGTAGAAATTTTGACATTAATCATTCTTCAGTGCTTTGACTTAAATCAGGTAGCCCCCTGCAATTTCTGACTTCAGAATTAATACAATCTATTTTTCAATTTCTTTTATCACAGCCATTTGTCTTAATCTGTCTCAGCGCATTGTCTCTGTTGAATACACACATGCTGTCGGGAATGACTGCATAGCTAATTTCCTTATTTCACAAGTATAGGAATAGTGTGTTTCCATCTAGCTTTCTGTGGGAAAGTCTCCTAATGTTCTGAACTACGTTAATTCCTCCCCCAGTAGGATACTACTTACAGCTCCAAATATAGCACCGTTCTGCCACCAAGCAATATGTCATTACCGATTACTCCATTTAACAACCGTCTCGTAGAACACCTGGTTTAAAGAAAGCAGGAGAAAAAGACTTTTTACGTTCTATAGGTGTTGACTTTACATAAAGGATCTTTGCACCAACTTTGATGCCTCTTATTTCCAATCATATGTATTCAGAAGGGGGAAAGATTTTCCAGAATTGTAGTGTGGGCCTCTCTGCCCGATACACTTTCAGATTGAAAAAGGAGGTGGTATCTGTCATGTCTTTCTGATTAATCAATACTGACATGTCAACCGCACACAAATGGGTCTGACATACCACCCCACTGCTCTTATTGGCTTCCTATTGCAACGTCCCATGGAAAGCTTTCCGGGGGGGGGTCTCTTAATTTCCCTCATTCCCAGTATTGTTTAGGTTCATGAATGACTGAAATCCAGGTGTGAAGGACAATTTTATCTGAACACGAATTACTTTTAAATGTCTACATTTTTATTACCAATGGCCATATTATCATCATTGGTGAAATTCCAATTATTAAAATAATTACACAAGAGTGTGAAGCAATAGAATTATTCTCTCCGCTTCTGCAAAAACCACAAGGAGTCCTGTGGCACCTTATACACTAACAGATTTATTGGAGCAGAAGCTTTCATGCATCTGACGAAGTGGGTCTTTGCCCACAAAAGCTTATGCTCCAGTACATCTGTTAGTCTATAAGGGTATGTCTATACTACCACCCTAGTTCAAACTAGGGTGGTTAATGTAGGCAACCGGAGTTGCAAATGAAGCCCGGGATTTGAATTTCCTGGGCTTCATTTGCATCTTGCCAGGTGCCGCCATTTTTAAATCCCCGCTAGTTCGGACTCCGTGCCTGCGGCTACACGCGGCACGGACTAGGTAGTTCGGATTAGGCTTCCTATTCCGAACTACCAGTACACCTCGAACTAGGGTGGTAGTGTAGACATACCCTAAGATGCCACAGGACTTCTCATTGTTTATGAAGATTCAGACTAACACAGCTATCCCTCTGATGCTTATTAAATATGTTTAGTTGTGCTCTGTTATTGTTGTTGTTTTTCTGTAACTTCATGCAGTGCAATTTAATTGGGTAAAAGATGTAATCCATGGAAGTATCTAAATCCAGACAGCTGCTTTTAAGAGGTACTTAGATTTTTTTAAAAGTCAGCATTAATCTACTGTTTCCAGGCAGTGATAGCCTTGTCACATTAGGAGATACCCCAAGAACGTGGCCCAGTATCTGACACCACTGTGTGCAAATGCTGATTTTGTATTGGCCATCACCGGACAATGTGTGCACTGGTAAAGCATATTTGGATAGTGACTTTCTAGCCCTTAGCACTTATGCTAAAGTTCTTTGCTTCAAGACACTGTACAAATATTAATGAAGCCCAGGAGGTAGGTGACCAAACATAGTATTGTCACCATCCCTTTGAATCACTCCACTGTGTCCCTTCTCACCATTACAAACATTACTTTTCTTCACAGGCTGTCCCCACCTGACCTATCATCACTCACTCAGGCTATGTCTACACTACAGAGTTTTTTCGGAAAAAAAGATGTTTTTCCTAAAAAACTTCACTTACGTCCACACTACAATCATGTTCTTTTGAAAAACAAAATCGAAAGAACAGAGGGGTTTTCCCAGCATTGGTAATCCACTTTCTATGAGGAAGAGTCCTTTTTGCAAAAGAGCTCTTTCAGAAAAAGGCGTGTGTGGATGGGGAAGAGGGCGTTCTTTTGGAAGAAGAGAAAAGAGGAAAAAGCAGAGGCGCCTGGTGGCCGCTCCGTCCACAGTAATCACAACTTAAATGTGAGAGATCATCCATTCAGTGTGGACGCTCTCTTTTGCAAAAGCAGATTGCTTTTTCGATGCGCTTTGGCAGTGTGGACGCCCTCTTTCAGGAGATGTTTTTTCAGAAGATCTCTTTGGCTATGTCTAGACTGCAAGCCTCTTTCGAAACAGGCTTTTTCGAAAGTATCTTTCGAAAAAGCCTCTTTCGAAAAAGAGCATCTAGACTGCAAGCAGTACTTTCAAAAAAGCAAGCCGCTTTTTTGAAAGAAAGCAGCGAGTGAGTCTGGATGCTCTCTTTCTAAAAAACCCTGTTGGCATTCAAGAATGCCTTTTTTCAAAAGAGCACATTCGAAAGAAGGCGTTCTTCCTCGTGGAATGAGGTTTACCGCCGTCGAAAGAAAAGCCGCGTTCTTTCGATTTAATTTCGAAAGAATGCGACTGCAGTCTAGACACAGGTGACGTTTTTTTGAAAAAAGGCTACTTTTAAAAAAAAAAACCCCTGAGTCTGGACACAGCCTTCTAGAAAAGCTTCTTCCAAAAGAAGCTTGCAGTCTCGACGTTGCCTCAGTGTCTGATTAGGCTTATTGCTACCAACCTCCGCTGCCCACTTGTTACATTTTCAAACAAGCACTTTCATTTTGTCTGTCACGCTGCCCCTTTGGCTGGAGGGGAGAGCCCCATCACACACACACACACTCCCCCCCTTCCCCCCCAGTGCCACTTTGTCATTCTCTTTCAAATCCCCGCTTAAAACCACCTTGGCATGACACCTGCAAACCACTTGCTGGAGGGTAGTTGCTGGAGTGCTGATGCCATTGTCTACCACGCTGACTGATAATTGTTTTGGGTCTTTCTGCTCGCTGTAGCCACCTGTTTTTCTTTTCTCCCCTCCTCCCCCATGGGAAATTTTAAAATGAAAGGATCGTTAAAAAACACATTTTTAAAAAATTGGCTTTTTTGTTTCTCCTTTCTCTTTCCCACTCCCTTTTAGCCACTGAAAGGAATAGTATGAACAATGTCTTAGGCCGGTCTCCACTTGGAAGCTGTGCTAGTGTAACTATGTCAGTTAGGGGATGAATTTTTTACCACTTGTACTGGAAGAGACCCTAATGTGGACATTGTTATGTCAGGATAAAATTGTCTTATTCTGGTATAATGGACCGGAAACGTTATCCTTCAATAAAGCACCTGTATACTCAGGGGTGATGGTGAAGGGATACTCAGGGGGCCACCAGTCACATGACACCCCCAAACCCAGGGAAAAGTCAGGATAAGCCCCCTTTACTCTGGGACCCCTTCTCTTCACCCCTCTTCCAGCTCCTGCTCTGCCCTCTCCCCTCCTCTTCCCCACCTTTGCTCCATCCTCCCCCTGCCTTTCCCCCCAAGAGAGGCGGCCCAGGGGACAAGCAAGACTGAGGTCCAGCACTGACAGTAAAGGTCTGGTCCCCCCTCACTCACCAGCAGCGGCCAGAGAAATAGAGCATTGTGGTCCCAGCTCGCTCTGTTCCCCCTTCTGCACCACTCTGCTTCCTGCTGGCGAGAGTAGGGGTTATCTCGCCTATCCCGAAGAGACGTGGTAGCTGGGGGAAGCAGAGTGAGCTGGGGCTGCATTGCTCCACTTCCCCCACCACAAACTCCTCCCTACCCCGCACTAGTCCTGCAAGCTGCCAGGTGTCTGGTGTTTGCCTGGACAGTTCAGAATTCAGGACCCCCGTCCGGTAAAAAAAACATGTGAAATGTCTGGTATTTCCTGTTTCCCTTGGATGGAAGCCCAGCAGGGACAGTTTTTCCCTGCCGTGGTGCCATTTAAGGGCACAGCAACTTTTTTTTTTTTTGCTCAACAACTTTGATCTCCTGTTGTTGGGTTGGTTTTTTTTTTTCAACCAAGTTTGCCATGTTTGGGATTTTTGTTGAAAGCATCTGGCAAGCCTAACTGCAGGTGCCTGCCCTCCATGCTGGGGAAGGGAGCAGAGAAGGCCACGTCTGTGGGCTGCAAATGCTCCAGGGATGGCAAGAGAAGTCTGCAGGCTGCCCATGTTTGGGGGGAGGTGCCCCTCCTTGGGGGGGATTTGGCTCCCACTGGGGCCATGAGAGGTATGAGTGGTGTCTCAGATGGCAGGGATGGGTTTGGGAGCTTTCCTCCTCCAGCCTGAGGTTCACCCGTCACCCCTGGGCTTTTTCCATGTTTTCATTTCATCTTCGGGTTGTTATTTAAAAGTTACAATCAAGATTTGGCCCTCCGGATGCTGGGTGCTGTACATACACATAAAAGAGAGTCCCTATCCCAGAAACCTTAGAGAGCCAAGAAATACTTACTCATAAAATACTATTCATTCATGTAATCCCGTTGGTTTAATTAGGGTTAGTCGCATGAGCTCCGCAGAATGAATAAAGCTGTCAGAGTCTTGCCCAAACTAAACAAGACAGACAAAGGATTAAGAGTAGGAAGAACTATTATTTCCACTTTGCAGATGGGAAACTGAGGCACGGAGCAATTACGTGACTTGCTGAAAGACATACATGAGGAATCTGTGGCAGAGGCAGATGAAAGCAGTTCTCAGTTTCAGTCCAAAGACTTAACAGGGCCACCCTTTTCATAGTATGCACTAGGGTTCCAGTCTGGCTTGTTTGAGGAGATTTGGCAAGCAACGCTTCTTTCATCATGATGGACTGTTCTGTATAACAGTGTTTCATCCCTTTCCTTCAGAGCAGCAGGCAACAATAGTAAATGCCACAAGAAGGATGGCAAATACAAACAGTCTGTGCAATAAACTCATGTTAATAGTGTTTGCCGTGTCTGCGTGGCCTCTTTGTAAAAGAAAGGAAAGATCATTCTGCCAACTCTATGTCCCAGAGACTAGTTCTCCTAATTAACCCACTGCTAAATAACCTCTTTGAAATGCACTTTATTTTCCAAGCCAGTTTTAGAGTCTGGAAACTGTTAGCTCTTAATTGGAAATTGGCTTGTTTTTTAAAGCAACGTTTTTCATACAGCACGTTTTACATGCCCTTGGGCCATCTGTTTTGTGGCCATGCTTTGCTCTCTGGGGTATATTGCGTAGGCCAGTGGTTTTCAAACAATGGATCATGACCCAATAGTGGGTTGCACAATGTCAAAAGCTGGGTCACCTTGCAGTAGGGCAGGGGTGGCCAACCAGTTATAAAGTGCAAAAAAAAAAGGAGCCCCCAGAAAGAGCCCCCAAAAAGTTGTAGAGCAAAAAAAAGAACTGGCCCTTTAAAAAGGCTTTT